TCAAGCCAGCCTATGTGCCTCACTGCGAGGTTCCGAGCCTATCATGTTAAGGCCTAGGGGTGTTTTACAATTCCTCCTTCTGTACTGTTTCACTGTTTTGTATAGACTGAATGTTTACCGTACTGTTGTTAAGGGATTAGGTCCCTGTACTGTGTGACTGTAAATTTTGTATAGACTGTACTGTTTATATATGTGAATGCATGAAAAGTCTTTTTGCATGCAGACTGTCACAGCTCATTGGGCATTGTTTATTTACTGTATTGGCTTCCGCCAGGCCCTGTACTCTGTTTTACTGTGTTATTGTTCTGCAGGCCTTTGGTAATCTCGGATTACTGGCCGGTTACGGTGCTAAACCCATAGGGCCGGGTTTGGGTCGTGACATTAGAGAAGTCCACCATTACGGCGGTGATCTAGGGTGACCTTAGGCTTGCCTTCCTTCTAAGACTCGACCCGCCAGAGAGTACAATACCCAAACCCAGTTGAGATTCGCTCGAATTTTTTTTGGAAAAGCTCTTGATTTCACACCCAACTGATCTAGATCTGAAAACTTTTTGATCAAACGTAGCTTGATATGGGCTCTCATTCTCCTCTACCACCACAAACTTCTATCTTTTCTTTGTCCATCTTTGCGAGAAAGATCTATTTGAAGAAGCCTCTATTGTTGAAGACGATGCGTAGCAAATCTCTTTACAAGCATATGGAGAACTATATCTACAACCCACAATATACATCTAGATTTATAAATATATGTGTGCATATATATATATAGAGAGAGAGAGAGAGCGAGCTTACGCTTGTGCTGTTGATATGTGCTTTATATTTAAAAGATAGTGATGATCTTGTTGTGAAAAATGAAGAGGGATATGGAATTGAGGGTGGTGAAACTGGGTCTGGGTGGTTTAAGGAGGGTATGAACTAGGGGTATTCAACGAATATTCCGATCCGTCCAAACCGACCGAACTGAACCGATTCGCCGTATTCTGGATAGATATGTGATGATGAGCGGACGGTTGCAGATTGATTTTTTCCAACCCGCTTAGTTTTAGACGGATGGCGAATTTGAGATTTCTATGGCCGCAACTGACCCGCCAAACTATGAGCTCCCCTAGTAATTTGTAAGACTTTGTGTTTTCAATTTGTTTAGATATTCTGTTTGTATTTTTAATTGAAAATGAGTTTACATATTATGTTGTGTTTTCAATTTAAAAATCCTTTTATCAAATGTCAAGTATTGATATTTGGTATTTTTGTGTAGAAAATAAAAGGCTTAATTTTGCCATTTTTTAAAAAAAATCAAATTAAATAATTTTTGAATAAAAAAAAGTAATGAATTAGTTTTGATAATACATAATTTTCTTATATGTGTTTATTATTGATATTTGACAATTTACTTGATAATCTTTTAGTTATGTTGAGTTAGGTTGTTATCCAAAAAAAATGTTAGCAAATTGTTGTATTATTCTTAAAATTTGCAAAAGTTTAAACTGCTAAAGCGATTTACATCTATCTGTCAATTCGCTTAATTTGCATTCGCCAATTCAGCAGACAGATGCAGATTGATTTTTTCCAATTCGCCAATCAGACAGATGGATGGTGGATTAGAGGTTCCCTGGTCGCAACCGAATCATGAACACCCTTAGTATGAATAAGGGCCTATAGGTGGAGGATAAGAAGCAAAAAGGAGTAGAGGATAAGAAAGAGATGTGAATGGTGAAGAACTCAAATTGGTGGTAAAGGTAGGGGTGCAACTTGGGCAAGTTCGGACGGGTTGGGTGGTTGTCCAAACCTAGCCCAAGTTTTGCTGAGACCTATCCAAACCCGTCCAGGCCCGAATTGGAATTCGAGGTTGCCTGCCCAAGCCCGACCCAGGTTAAACCCGAATTACCCAAGTTGTCTGAATTGTAAATGAACTTCATTTTTTTTTTTGTTCCAGCTACATTATTAAATTATTAAAATTTGAATTTATTTACATTTAAAAAAAAATCATTAATAACATCAAAATAAATAATTTATATAATATAAGAGATATGTCGCTATAGTAGTATTTACAATTTATGAGTAAGAATAAAAAAAAAGAGTAAGATTTTGTGTTATTTGTATATATAATATGTATTCAATATGGTTTAATAATATAACTTACTTTGATATCATGTAATGACTAATAATTTATATATATTTTATATTTTTTTATTTCTACATATGTATGATTCGGGTTTTGGATTACTCGGGTAATTAGATATCTTTGCCTAAGGGATTGTTTGGAGTGTCATAAATAAGTGCACTTTTTGTCTTTTTGGACTAAAAAGTTGAGGAAGAAAATATGGTTGTTTTGGTTAACTTTTTGACTTTTTATGAAAAAATGTATATTAAAAAATTGTATAAATTAGTATGTAGGGGAAAATTAGGATTGAGAGTTGTGCAGTAGTAATTTTTTACTTTTGGTGAATAGTGATAACTTTTTAACTTTTTGAGTAATTTTTTTGACTTTTTGGCTTTTTCTCCACTTCTCAAACTTGGCCTAAGTCTGCTTAAATTTAATTCAGGCTTTTGAATTTTTACCCAAGCCTACACTGAATTTGAAAATATTTTGTCCAAGTCCTAAAAAAATTTAGGTTGGGTTCAGGTTGCTCCGGTTGAGTCCGCCCAAGTTGCACCCCTAGGTAGGGGTTTGAGAAGGAAGGTGTTTGTTGAGGGTTTGAAGAACTTGTGTGTTTCAAATGGCACTTCTGGTTGGTTTGGATTTCCTGGGAAGCCGTGAAATAAAAGCTATTCGATTCGATTCGATTCAAATTTGCTCTGTGGTTACTAATAAAGAGATTTGATATACCTAGGCAGCTCCCATTTTCGGTCCATAAACACTGCACTGGTGGAGAGAGAGGGAGGCTAGCTGCTGTCACCAGTGGTGATGACTGGCAGAGTTGTAGAGGTGAAGAGAGGAGAGAGTGTAAGTTTGGGTAGAAGATGGTGGATTTGCATCTATCATTTGAAATTTGGAGCCAAAATACTTTCTTTTTTTTTTTTTACTTTTTTCCGTTACAAATGTGACGGTAGGTGTAAAAATGATACAATTTCAAAAAATTTGAAGGTAAAATTGAAATTATTCAAAATATAGAGGTGTCATTGAAAATAGAGAAAAAGTATAAGGGTAAAAATGAAATTTTCTCTTACACTAATCTTTTTCAAACTTTGTTAATTCACATAATATTTGAATTATTTTTCATCAGTAATTCATTAGTTATATGAAAAAAAAAATGATATTGTCATATATTTCCTAATAAAATGTATATTTATCATTATTTATTTCACTATTTATCTACAATTGACGTTAATTTGAATCGCTTTAATTATATCCCCAAAGAAAAATCAGTGTGTTTGAATTCAATTTTTTTGAAAATTGAGTCTTTAATTTTTCATATTTTTTTTGTTTTTAATGAATATTTTTAAAATTTATGCAATTTTTTTACTTTTTTAGATGCACCTTACTTAAATATATTTAAATAGTAAAATATTTGTGAAAAATATATTTTTAAAAAATTAATAAATACACAAAAATGTGAAAATGTACTGAATTTTCATATTTTTTATTAATATTTTTGGTATTTAGTATTTTTTAAAGATTTTTTCTACAATTATTATACTTTTTAAGTGTATTTATGTTAGATGTGCCTAAAAATTTTAAAAATTGCATAAAATATTAAAAAAAATCAGTGAAAACAAAAAAATACGAAAAGCAAAAAAATAAAATTTTCTGAAAAGTGAATTTAAAAAACTAAAACCAAACAAAGTGAATATAATTGTGTTAAAAATATAAAGGGTTCGTTTGGGATATGAGTTAGTTTTTTGACTCTTTGACTATTTTAGCTTGGGACTAAAAAACCTGGTTTATGATGGACTTTTTGGTTTTTTTTTTTTTAATTTTTATGAGAGAAAAAATATAATAATTATGGATTAGATGTGACATTTTATCTTATTGAACTAAAAAATTTATTTTATTTTATTTTTTTTGGACTAAAATAACCAACAAAATCACAAAAAGTTTATGCCAAACCAACCCAAAATTAATTATATTTGGGCGAATTACACTAACAACCTCTATAATCGGGGGCTCATGTCACTTTGATCATTGACTTTTCAATTGTAACATATTTGATCCTAAATTTTGAATCTTGTTCCAAATAAGGACAATTAAAGATACCATTGCTTAATTTGAAGGGCAAAATCGTCAATTTGATAAAATATAAACTAATTTGAAAAAAATAAATATCAAAAACATATTTTTGCATTTCAATTTTTTTTACCCACTAAAGATAAAATTATATAAAATTAATAAATATTTTAGACATTATTTATTTTTTTTTACCAAATTAATTTTTATTATATGTTTGATTTGGATGATGATGATATAATTGATGGTTGCTAGACTTTTAATGTATAATCGATATATTTAATATATGAAATAATTTTAGTTTTGAATTTTTTGATTTAATAGATTGGTTTAATAATAATATCAAATTTGTTGCCATATTTGACTTTTGAAAAAATAGAAACTAATTTAATAAAAATAAAAACCACCAATTACATGATCATCATCCAAATAAATAATAAAAATTAATTTGATAAAATAAATACATAAATAAATGTCTAAAAATTTTATCAATTTTATATAATTTTATCTTTATTGGATAGAAGTAATTTTTAGAAAATAAAAAACATTTTTTTTGACATTTATTTTTGTTAAATTAGTTTATATTTTATCAAATTGATGATTTTACTCTTAAAATTAAACAATAGTATATTCAATTACTTTTATTTGAAACAAGATTTAAAATTTAAGATCAAATATGTTGTAATTAAAAATTTAGAAATTAAAATGACATAAGTCACAAATTATAGGATCATTAGTGTAATTTGCCATTATATTTTCTTCCATACTGTTTGGATTTTTTTTATTTTATATATATATATATATATTAAAAAAAAATATCTAGGAGATTGACGTTTCGCCTCCCGTCAACGCGCCCACATTATTACCCTCCAAAAACTCAAAGATAAAACTCTCAATCTCATCGATCTATCCTTACTCTGATGTTTGCCACATAAATTCCAAGCTTCAATTGTCAATCCTCAAAGTTTACAGATCTAAGATACAACAAGAGAGTATGTGCATCGATTAGGTCATTGGAATTGCTCAAGATTGGCCGAATAGCATCGGCCCAATGTGCTCGGTCTTCGCATCGTTCCTCCACAGGTCCACAACGATGACTCCTTTCACACCTTCCTTCAATGGCGGTTCGTGTTCGCATCGTCTCAAGCAGATCGGCAAGTGGTTTGGCCACGGTATTTTGAGTTAACATTCGGTTTTTTTTATAACATTGATCGACATTTAGGGCTTATATATATATATGATCGCGTGTATGTTCGTGTTCAATCTGTTTGTGTTTTGAATTGTAATCGAGACTGCGGGAGGAATTGATCTGGAGAAGCAAGATTGAGTTTTTGAGTTGTTTGTTTGTATCGATTTCGTAACCTAGCCAGGATTGGATTTTGATTAAGCTGTTTTGGGGAATTTTGACGCTGTTGATTCGGGTGCTTAGCTCATCCTGTCACCGTTGAGGTAAATTTTCTCTATTAATTTACTACTATATGTTAGTGGTCATTTGTTTTTAAATTTTAGAATGTAGTTTTAGGTGTTATATGTATTATTTTGGCAATGATCTGATATTGCCTGTGAGATCTTCGTTTCATGTTATCGGTGATGTTATTCTGTTCTCTGCGCCTGTTTGTTTCTAAATATTTGTATCTATTATATTGTCATCTCCTTTTATCTGTAATTTATTTCATTGTGATAATTCATGATGAAAACTTTAAATCTTAGCCCATAGTAATTTAACAAAAAAGTAGAAACCAGTATAAGTAGTGTCGGTGGCTCTAATTACCCAAAAAAGCATTATTGGATTGGTGACTAGGATTGGGGATTGGCCTTTTTATAAATTTAGATTTGTTATTTACTCACTTTGTGCAGATCCTCCTAGTTCCTCCTAGTTATTCAGGATTGCTGTGTCACAAAATCCATGTTGTGTCTGTCTTTTGGGGTACCTTGTGAATGTTGATTCATTTATTCTTATTTCTATTTACGTCTGGGATTTATTTTTTGGCAAAGGCAAGAAATTTATTAGAAAGGTCAGTGGGCCAAATCACAATATTAGAGAGCAACAACTTGAGAAGTTGGAATTCCAACTCTTAAGACTCTGTTTGGTTGAAAGTTTTGAAGAGAGATTTGGAAAGAGAAAGGAAAAAGGTACATGAAACTAAGTGAAATGTAGGTATATTTTAATCACATTTCACCGTTCTTTTTCTTTTCCTTTTCCTTTTCCAAATCCCTCTCCAAATCTTTGAACCAAACACAGCCTAAGACTCTTAGAAAACGGGGCTCTACGTGCACAAGCATGTGCTGCCCCATTACATACTTCACTAACATGATTGAAGCGACAATTTAAAAAGTCAATTAGCTAAACCAAAAGAGTCTGGAATGACAGCAGCAATGCCCAGTGAAGCCGGCTTTTTGATGAAGAAGGGTCTTAGCTATAGTGTCAATGTCAGTCTCAATATGGATATTTGAAAGCCTCCAAGCCAAAGCAAGTTGTAATCCTTCCCACGCAGCTAAGGCTTCAACGACTGCTATTACATCTGGTAATGCACTTCAATCCTATTCCAACAATAGATCCATTGTAATCGCGTGCCACAACCACCAACCCAAGCCTACTGAGTTTCCACTGCTCTGAGCCCTGGCATCAACATTACCTTAATGAATTAAGATGGGGGACATGACCATAGAATTTGATTCTTACTCAAACCAATAGTTGTGTTACCCACAGAGCCATTAGCACACCAAGCCAACACTTCTATTCCTGACGGAACCAACATGGCTTACTTTATCTTGGTCCACATTTACAGTCTCATACTCCTTGGATGTTAATTTAGAAGTAAGCTATCAAGACACTTGGATCATAACCAAAAACATGAAGAAAGGAAGTGGTTGGCACTTTTATGACAAAAGAATATCAGATTAATCCAGTTGGGAATATGTTTAACCTATTTCTTCATAAAAACATCAATTCTTGTTCGGCTATATGACAATTCAAGTTTAAATACTTGTACATGTCCACTGACTCCCAACTCAAAACATTTTTTGTGACTTGTGGATATCTGGTTTTGCTTTGCTTTGGGTGGATAATTGACTCCTTAATTGATTAATTTTTCCCCTTTCGTTCTCTTTGCAAGGTTAGATTAGAAGTCCAGGATTCAATAATGGATGTCTCAGTTCAGTATGTTGACCCAGTCAAGGTAGATTTAATTAGTCCTAATGAATGGGGACAGTTGTGGAGTAACTGTAAGCAAGGTAGCAGCACCATAGGTGGTATGGTGGCAGAGCTTGGAAGTGCTCTTGAAGATGCTCTAGTTTTGCTATCTGCTTCTGCTCCACCCTTGGAGGGGTGTGAGATTGGTTGTCATAAAAAGGAAAAAGTGTGTGGGAAGTTAATTATTAATCAGGATGACTCTTTGATTGTAACATCTCCAAAAAAAATTGGAGAGCATGCGATGCTGTCATGCTCCAGAAATATGCTATTCCATGATGAACCTGTGAGTGGGAAAGCCAAGATATCAAATACCACATCGGAGGGACAAAGTTCTTTGCAATCTCACAATCCAACCAGCACCAGCATTACGTCTTTTCCTGTAAGTTTCTGACTCATCATCACACTGCATGGTGGACAAGTACTTTCTTCTTTAATATTGTTGTTGGCATTTTCCGATTTGTCATTTTTTTATCATCCCTCAATGCCCATACTAGAGCTCCTGATCTACCAACTTTTACTCCTTCCAGTCTTTTTGGATTTTATGTTAAACACAGATGACTGAAAATGCAAAAAACTAGCATAATTAGAATGGACAGTGTATTTACCAAATTTAACTGCATTATCAGAACTAATAAGCTTCTGAAAAATGATGGCTTTATGTGGCTTCCTGGTTTTACATCCATGAATTGATAATGTAACCGTTTTGTGTACATTTTTGATGGACTGATCAATTTTTTTTACTGCAAATATATCAATGCTTCTTTTACCATCTCAATTTCTCAAATCAAACTTTCATTAGGTGTGCGTAAAAACAAAGGGGTTTTACTATCTCTCATTAAATTTTCATCATGTGAGCATGTAAAATTGGGGTTCATATAGAGTGTGTATAAAATTATAATTCCAGGATTGACAGCTAATTAGGATATCAGCTATGTTTTATAACCACACCCATGCAAGTACAACTAAGGATGATGTAACTAATTAGGATACCAACAATGGGTCTCTCTGTTTTTACTATTATTCATAGTTTTTCTCATTTCCTAACCCAACCACGGAAGGAGAAAAAATAAAAACTTCTTGTACTTAATTTTTGCCATATCTTTTTGCTTTCCTTTTCTTTTTACTCCATAAATCCAAGATCCAAACACAGCATGAAGTGATTTCTGGATTCGAATATGTGCAGTTACATGATGCCCTTGGTTTTCTGCATCTCTTTTGTTGACATGCACTGTTCATCTTTGTATTTGACTATTTACTCTCAAATTTCTTTGAAGCTTGTTTCCGCTATGAAAGGTAGTCGTGAGAAACAAGGACTGCATGTTGGGAAGCTAAGTGTCAGTTGGGCTCCTGATGTCTATGACCCACCAGCTACATCCCAATCTCATACAGTGAAAAGCCATAACCAGCATCACTCCATGCCATCCAAGAAGAGTTACCGGCACAAGCACAAGGGAAAATCATCACGAAGTAGTAGCACGGACAAGAAACATCGCCATAAAACCGGTAGGAGCTCATCAAAAGTTGGCAGCTACTAGTGATGGAATGCTGTTAGGTGATTTTGATTGTGTCTGTCTGTGGACTATGGGGTCTGTGGATGTTGTTGTTTCCAATGCCTTTCTATTATGCCAGATTAGTAACTACTGGTTTGATGCTCTATGACAATCTTTGGCTTTCTTGTACAGACTGAAACTCTAGATAACCTAATGGGCTTAAATATTGTAATGTTGATAAATATGTATTTTTAAGTGTGAGAAAATTGTGTTGGGATGGAGGCACTTATAAGGTAAAAAGGCGTAACAATCCACTGATTATAATATGATATGATGATTAGAAATACAGAATTCTGTCTTATTTGGCCTTTTGGTCTCTGGTATGTCGCTGAATTTGGTAGGAGGTTTATCACATCTGTAGAGGTTCAGGTTTCCAACGCATGACAACAATGCAAGGCCAATTTGAAAAGGACTTTAGAAATTAAAATTTGGCATTGGTTAGGCCAATTGGGAAGAGGAAGCTTTTATGTGTAGTTTGAAACTGGTATTTTAGATGCGGTGGTGGTGGTACATGTATTAATTAGTGTATCAACATTAGTTATAATATTATTATTGATCTCATTTATTATATAAATTATAAATATTAAAAATATCTTAAATTATGTCACATTATTAATTGATATACTAATTAATATACTAATTGATATATATAGTATTATTCTTTTAGATAAGGATGGAGAATGAGTGCTTGCTGCAAATGTGGCCAGCTTGTCACCCGAATTTAAGGATAGTAATGTTACCGAAATTAGATATTAAATTTTAAACATTAGTTGATGTGCCATCAATTTGTTAATTTAATAAGTCTATTAAACTGTGACCAAATAAAGGTTTTATTGGATAGATAATTTTGGGATTTTTAAAACTCGGCTTTTATAGCATTTTTATAAGGTAAGGAAATAAATAAATAATAAAACTAAAATTCCATTAAAAAAAAAAAAGTGAAAACAAGATTGTTATTAATTGATTTCCATTAAAAATAAAATAAAAAAAGTCAAGGGTAAAGTTAATGATTATTGGTCATTAGTCTCATACTTGCAAAAAAAAATATAAAAATATGTTAGAATATGTAAAAAGTAACAATAATTATTTTGATATTAATTTTTAAAATGTTCATAAAATTATCATTAGCATTATCTTATTAAAAGCAAAAATGAAAAGTTTATTTACAAAATTAGTACAAATTGGGCGGTGTTTGAGGAAAAAAAAATTTGGATTTTTTTTTTGATTTTTTCCACTAAAAGACAAAATTTTTGTAAAATAAAAAAAATAAATCTAAACAAAATATCACATTCAATTTCATAATTATTTCACTTTTTCTTTTACAAATATTACATTCAACTATAAAAAAATAAATTAACTTTGCAAACATAAAAAAAATTTATTCAATAATATTCTACAACTAAAAAAATCTACATAAAAATCCACTTTTCAAAACAGTATTTAACAATTTGCAGATTATTGTGGACAAGTACTCGTCGGTAGTCCCAAGATATTTGGCTCAGAGGTTGGAGATAACCAAAGAATTTGCAGATTATTTTCAATTTTTTTTTTTAAAAAAACTTTTTATCTGGGTCTAGGATAGAATTTTAGGAAGGAAAATAAGTGAGAGTACTAATTAGTGTTCCTATTAATGATGTGGCAGTAGATCCAATAATTTGATGTTTTGATCTTAGTGTTGTATTTTTTTCTTTTTTCATTGAGTGTCATGTTATTAGTGATCTTTTTAGAGTTCCAAAATTAATAGTCTCTATCATTGTTGTTTTAGGAAGCCAAATTGAACAAGCAATCATGGAGCACATTCTTCCAGGGTCATATTCGACATTTCAACCTTCGCCACGTGCCTCCTTCCCATTGGTCCGACCTACTTTCCCTGTTGCTGTGATGTAGAACCACCATCACCGAATACCAGAGAGAGAGAGAGAGGGGGGGCCTGAATAGCAGAGAGAGAGAGAGAGAGAGAGTCCTCCATTATCTATAAACACAAGAGAGAGTCCTCCATTATCTATAAACACAAGTCTACGACAGTCTCATCTCTCTCGCTCTCTCTCTACATACATATTTCTTCCAGGGTCATATTCGACATTTCAACCTTCGCCACGTGCCTCCTTCCCATTGGTCCGACCTACTTTCCCTGTTGCTGTGATGTAGAACCACCATCACCGAATACCAGAGAGAGAGAGAGAGGGGGGGCCTGAATAGCAGAGAGAGAGAGAGAGAGAGAGTCCTCCATTATCTATAAACACAAGTCTACGACAGTCTCATCTCTCTCGCTCTCTCTCTCTCTCTACATACATATCACCATTTTCCTAAATTTTCTCTCTCTAACTCTGTTCAATTGCCCCCGATCTTCTCCACCTCCACACCATGGTGAGTTCTTTGAACTATTTTCTAGTCCATTTTGCTTTGCTAGGGCTCATTTTCCTGTTTATATACGTTCTGTATACATATATATGCATTCATTTTTATGTATATGCAGTTTGAGTTGGTGTGTTTTCTTGGTTGATCTGTGATCTCCATGGTTTGTCAATATTTTCTACGATTTGCTTCAATTTCTCAGCTCATAGATCTGATTTTGACTGTTGATCTCTGAATGTCGTGTTGGTTTCGATTCGTATGATGGTCTAATATTGATTTGTTTGGTTTCATAGGCTGATTTCATTCGGATTTAGTGAGGATTATTGTTTGTTATCTTTGTAATTTGCTATTCTGAGACTGTAATTTGGTTTTAGATGTATTGTTGGTTTTATTATGTGTATAATTTTTAGTTGCTGCTTGTTTTTCTTGTTGTGAAGGTTTGGTTTTTTATTTTTATTTTCCTATCTGAATTCAATTTTGCATGGTCCAATTGTGTCATTGTTGTCTTAGTGTTTGCTGGTCTTCAAAGGCACTTACTATGGATTACAAATCTATTATGAAAGTTGGTCTTTGCTTATATCTCCAGGAAACATATTCTTATAATGTCTGAGCTTTTCTTTCAATTTTAAATGTGGATAAGAAAAAAATTAGGGACAGGCCCTCACTTGTTAAATTTGAGACCACAAAGTAGAATAAGATTATGTTTTTCTTCTCTGTCTTTCTTGATTAATTGATTGTCTGTCTGATTCAAGATGCAACTTATAAAAATAAAAAATAAAAACCCTGCCTGAACATGATTTTCTTAGGACCTTGTGAACCAATCTTTGTAGTTTTTGTTTGTAGGTATTGAAATTTCCTTCATTTCCATGGTCTGTAATTTTATGAGCAAAATATTACCCTATGTGGTGCAATGTTGTAGACACCCACTCGAATAATGAGATTTTTAGATACATAGTTGGATGGCTAGATGATTTATCAAAAAAAAAAATAGTTGGATGGCTAGATGTAATAAGAATGTCCACATAAGGATATATAGGTATTTTTATACCTGGGTTTGGTTGGATGTTGAACTAGAGATGAATGAAATTTGTAGTTGGGTTTTCTGGCCTATAAAAGGTTGGACGGTAGTCTTTGACTTTGTGGACTTATAACTTCTACTTATTTGGGGACTTATACAGCCAAGTTAAAAGATTACTTTCTTTGACACTAGTCCACCATTTTATCATCCTTTAAAAACCGAAGTCACACGTCTTTTGAGATTTTTCCTCTCCTCTTATTGTCCAAACTGTCTTGGAAGATAACAACAATGGAATCCTTTGACATCTCAAATCTTTGTGCAATTTTTTTCCTCTTCTACTATCATTGTGTCAATTGATGAAGGTCCTCAAAATGTCGTATGATGTTTCGCTTCTCGACAATTCACACCATCATTGGGGTAAATATATGTATTCTTCAAAAAATAAATAAAATAGAATAGAAATGAAATGAAAAGAATTAAATGTTGATTTATTAAAACAAAGCTTTAAGAGAGGTCAATGTTATTTACGAATTGGAAGCTGATTTTGCTGTTATTTCATTCTGTATGCAGGCTAATGCAGCATCAGGGATGGCTGTTCATGACGATTGCAAGCTGAAGTTTTTGGAGTTGAAAGCAAAAAGAACTTACCGCTTCATAGTATACAAGATTGAGGAGGAGCAAAAGGAGGTTGTTGTGGAAAAGGTTGGTGAGCCTGCAAATAGCTATGAGGACTTCACTGCCGAGATAAGGATCTAGCTGATGAGTGTCGATATGCTGTCTATGATTATGACTTTGTAACAGAAGAGAATTGCCAAAAGAGCAGAATTTTCTTCATTGCATGGTAATATTATCTATCTTTATTATTTTATTTTTTTTCCCCAAGTTTTCTCCTCCTTGCCCTTTTTGTGGAGCCCTGATTTAATGATCATTGCTGTTCGACTTTTTCTTACCACAAAGGTCTCCTGATACATCAAGAGTGAGGAGCAAAATGATTTATGCAAGCTCTAAGGACAGATTCAAGAGGGAACTAGATGGCATTCAGGTAGAGCTGCAGGCAACGGATCCAACTGAGATTGGCCTGGATGTTATCAAAAGCCGCTGTGATAAATAATTAATTCTCTGGTGTTGTAATGGAGTCTTTCATTCTCTCTCTGCTCTACTGAAGAGAGATGTTAATAGTTGTGGGACAGTTAAACTTGGTTATTAAGATATGATACTGGTTTGTTGTTCAAGTTTTTACATTATAATATTGTCGTCATCTAGTACAAGTTCAGTGTTTTATTTGAGCTTATTTTGAGTTTCATTTTGTGTGGACCCTAAGAAAGAGTGTCTCATTTACAAGCTACTGTGTATCATTATCTGGCGCTGGATTACACCTTTTGGTTTATTTTTCCAACTTTGTAATGGATGTATGACCCTTTTCACGATCTTTCCAATTTTCCATGAGAGGAAGCTGTTAACTATTCAGATTGCTGTTTGGCATGGTTTACAGAAACATGGATTTGTGACTATTGTCATCCTTGTCTTTGCTTTTCTTCTCTGTTCGTTAGCTAATCATAGGTTGAATGAGATTAGGTATTTTTAGCCATCCTGACAGCTGGATTAATTATTTCATCCTTTCTTTCCTGTCTAAACCTGTTCTCTTGGGGTGAGGGAAAGGGTCAGAACTTCCACCGAAGATATGGGTTTAAGCCAGGTGACACTTAGGAGCCAAGGATGAGTAGTTAATTTGCTGTAGATCTTGTGACCTTTCTAGTTGTTTTATTGTGCATCTCTTTGAATTTGAGGTTGAATTGTGTTTCTATCTCATTGAATTTGAGACTGAATTGTGTTCCTTTCAATGTGGCTAGTGTTTGAAAATGGCTGGATTTTATACAATGGCAATAGTCCCAAATGTTTTGGCTAAATTTTACCAAGCATGTGAGGAAGTCAATTTGTAGATCTACGAGATAGGAGTCATTTCTTGGTATTTAAGTTGCTTATTTGATACTGGAGTTAGGTTGAAGCTAGTGGCATGCCATTATCATTATTCATTGTAAAAATTTGAGGGCAAGCAAGGCATAGAGTCTGGGGGCATACTGCAATATGTCCATGGTTGTGGAACTGTGGTGACGAATTTGAAGATTACAACTGATAAAACAATCTCAGCAAATTAATGAGTCACTTGTTAAGCTAAGCTTATTTTCTTGTCAGGGTTACGGATGGTTTAGATACAACAGTTGTTTCTAATAGAATGTCGGTGTTGGTGCATGTGTGTGTATGTACAAGTCAGGAGACGGGAGTGAATTCTTTCTGTTGCTTGGATTACATGGAAACCTTCCACGGAAAACAGGTATCTTGTGTTGGGGATCACAAAAAATTGTTAACTGGCCTTTGGATGATCCCAATAAGAGCAAATTTGGTCAAAAACCGGATCGTGAGTGTCAAATCTTTCTACCCCTTGTATATAAGATCACCAGATCTTCTCTTCCAACAGTTTGTATGTCTATTTATTAAGGCATCCATTTGGATAATGAGATCACTCCAACCAAAATTTTTTTCTCCCTCCTCAAAAGCATCTAACTTCCTTGATGGCTACATTGTCGGTTGGCTGCCCCTTTGTAGATGAGTTCTCATGGCTTCATATTCAAGCCTTTAGAAAGGTAAGATGGGAAATCAGTATAAAAGAGAAAACTTGAAGCATGCCAGATTTCCACCCCAGCAGCTTAAGAGTCGGTTTCATTGTCAAAGAATCCTACAATCATGCCCTTCTTTGGTATAATTTTACGATCACCCAGGTTTAACAGGTTATTGATCTGGTAGCTGAATTTGGATTATCCCCTCTATAAATTTCTCCATCAGGCTCTCCTGCATTCACAACCAGAAA